CCCCTCCCCTCCCCTCCCCTCCCCTCCCCTCCCCTCCCCTCCCCTCCCCTCCCCTCCCCTCCCCACCCCACCCCACCCCACCCCAATAAGTCAAAACATGCCAGCCGAGAGTCACATGCACCCTCCCCGCCACGCCCGAACACATGCATACATATATTACCATTACATACATACATGCACACCTGTGTAGTAAATAGTGTACGTTGGCAGTACGAACAAATTTGCCTCCCAGGGGTTTTCCGTACGCACGGACCAGTCCCCCAGCAGCTGCTCCATGAACAGTAGCTCGGCGAGGTACATGGTGTCTAGGAGGGCCCTACGAAGTGCGCAGCAGCAGCGGCAGCAGCAGCGGCATGACCATCATCACGCACCGCCCCGGGGGAAATCTACACGCACTCCCAAACAAGAAGCAAGCGACGCAAGGAAAAACCCCAAACCCAAAGCCCCGCCGTACCAGGCCAAACACTAGGAGCCCGTCAAACACCCACCCCGTCAAACACAAAAACACACGCACAGGCACGTCATCATGTCAAAACCTCAGCCTCAAGGAACCCCGACACCCCCACCACCACCTCGCGTCCCTTCCCCCCTCCCCACCAACCCTGAGCCAAACACACATACTCACGGCTCATCATGCCAGGGTTTCCTGTACGACACCCGTTCCGGAAGGTCGTACACGTAGATCTTTAGCTTGGTTGGGTGGGGCAGCCAGGCTATTCAGTGGGTGGGGTTTATCGGGAGCCGGGAAAAGGGGGGAGGGGGCAAGGAAGGATGATGACAGAAATGGAACACACACACGAGTTGCGAAAACCTCAACACGAGCACAGGGACTGCACAAGTCAAAGGCAAGGAGGAGTTAATCGATATCTGCCAGGGAGCGGAGGGGTGGGAGAGTGGGGAGTGAGGAGGTGGGGTGGGGGAGGTAGTGGGCCTCCGGAGGAGGGGTGTGGGGGGGGAGGAGAGTGGGGGAGATAGGTTTCACTAGGCGGGCCCCGGGGGAATCGGGTCGTGTACGAAATTCTGGGGAAGAGAAGGGCACTAACAACATTAGCAGCTGCAGTGCAGTAACGGCAGTCCGCAGCCGCGTAAAGTACCCTGCAGTACATTTACCCCCTCACTCCCTCCGTCCAGGCCATACACACTTCGTCCTTCCCGTACACACCTCCTTCCCCCCTGCCGTACACCGTACTCACTCTCCGCCACGTAGGCCTTACTCCTGGTGCAGCCCAGGCCCCAGTACGGCGGTTGGCAGTGGCAAAACCCCCCACTGCAGGTGCCCCGGCCCGAGCAGTTGCGGTAGCAGTGCTGGTTGAGCGGGGTTTCGCACGCTTCACCCTGAACGTGTGTGTATGTGTGTATGTATGCATGTGTTTCGGGGTGGGGTGGGGGTCGGGGGGATATTGGAACAAGGACAGGCGGGAGGGTTGGGGTCGGGCAGGGTTAGGAAAATTCAAGTAACCCGGATACGACCCACCCGGGGAAATGGGGGAACCAGATAATGGTAACGATGATGATGATGATAATTGTGATGATGATGCAAAAAGCAGAAGGATGAACCGCCGTACATCCAAGTCACCAACTGAGGAAAGGGGGGGAGGGAGAGCAAGGGGGGCCACCCACCTCATAAAACCCGTGGCACCGGCACGTGTACGTGTCCTCAACCCCCTTCTTGACACACCACCCGCGACCTGAACATCTGTGTACGACGTTGTACGGCATTGCGCGACGATGTACACAGAAGGAGCGGCCCAAAGGGAGGAGTCAGGGAGATAGAGAAACACACACGTTATGTCCGTGCTTCCCAAGGGGACCGGAGGACGGGGGGGGGCAGACCGGCCAGCAGAACCATGCAGCGGTTGGGCATTTCGACGGCGTCAGCGGGAGCGGGTTAAGAGGCTGCCAACGGATCTGTCTCTTTCCGCGCCTCTCTTTCTCCCCCCTTCTCTCTCAAACACATATACATACATACATACACACACGCGCGCGCACATATACACACAGACACCCATACAGATGGCGCATCGTGCCATCCCCCTCCCTTTCCCCCCTCTCCCACCTTCCGGGGCACCTCTCCAGGCCCACCAGCACATCCCCATTTTGCAGTACGTACGGCTCCGGCGGGGGGAAGTCAACGAACTGGAAGGGGTCCTCCTCCTGAGCTGCTAACGTCTGGGGATGAGTGCGGGGGGGGGAGGGAAAGGACGGGTTGGGGGGGATGGGATGGGGTGGGGGGGGATGGGCCGCAGCAAACGAAACACCGAAAGGCGGACAAGACATGCCGAAAGGCGGAAAGGGGCGCTCAGGCAGCTAGGTGGGTACTCGGCCGCGGCAAATGCGTACGGTGTAGGTCGTCCTGTAATTCGGGAGGGGAACCGCCCTCCCCTCCTCCGCGCTTCAATCCCCCCACCCCCCGTGTCCACAATACACCCTCCCCTCCCCACCGCTCCCTAAAACCCTAA